GACCTCTGTCTAGTCAAGAATGAACCTTTTGGCTTGGACCTCTGTCTAGTCAAGATTGAACCTTTTGGCTTCGACCTCTGTCTAGTCAAGAATGAACCTTTTGGCTTGGACGCAGTTTTTAACGTTGAAACTCGCGCGCAATTAGGGCGTAGCCTACGCACAAACCAACCCACCCTCGGTCTTTTATGATCCGCCTCTTCTCATGAAGGACACTAGGATAGAACCTATATTAGCTAAGACGTAATGTTTAACTTTTAACATGCATGCAAAAAGGGGTTTTCTTACGCACATACCAACCCAGCCTCTGTCTTTTATGATCCGCCGTTTCTCCTCAAGGATCATTTCCTTGAGTATCATCCCCTTAAGTATCATCCCCTTGATTATCATCCCCTTGAGTATCATTCCCTTGAGTATCATCCCCTTGATTATCATCCCCTTGGATATCATTTCCTTGATTATCTTCCCCTTAGATATCATTTCCTTAAGTATCGTTCCCTTGATTACCTTTTTCTTCAGTAACTAGTCCTTGAGTATCAACCCCTTGGGTATCATTTCCTTGATTATCATCCCCTTGGGTATCATTTCCTTGATTATCATCCCCTTGGGTATCATTTCCTTGATTATCATCCCCTTGGATATCATTTCCTTAAGTATCGTTCCCTTGATTACCTTTTTCTTCAGTAACTAGTCCTTGATTATCATCCCCTTGAATATCATTCCCTTGATTATCATCCCCTTGGGTATCATTTCCTTGAGTATCATGTCTTTGTTAATAGGTTGCTTATACAACTGAAACGATGAATCTTATTCTCAATGGTTTGGAAAATACACGTGGTCCGAAAATGAAGAAAATACGTCAAAGGTAGAAAGAAAGATCGCTGACTACGTTACACTCGGTTTGGCAGCTACGGAGTTTTTTGACAAGAGAGTCCATAACAAGCATCATTTAATATTTTAACTTTAAGTTTGTTTTATTTGTTTCTTAAATATTTTCATTATTC